CTCCAAGCTGAACAGGGATCTGGGAGCATATTGTGCTGCCAGTTTAGGAGTGTTCCGAGGAAATGGGAAGGATCTCTCGTCCTAAACAATCCTGGTTTATTTATTTTTTATTGGTCTGTTAGCAGATGTTGGAGTAGTTCAGGGCACAATGTAAAACATGTGCTTTTCAATGGATGGTAAATAGGAAAGTGCACAATGAAAGGAGCAATTGGGAGAGGGTTTGGACCGGGGCACGGGGGAGGGGTTGTGGGGGGTTTTTTTGTGTGTGTGTGGCTGAATTTAGAATTAAAAGAAGTGCTTGATCTTTATATATTGAAATCCTCAGCGAGCGGAGTGACAGCGTGAGCCAGCCGAGAAACCCGCGGCCCCATGTGGTGTGAAAAAAGGAACAGCAGTTTAAGTGCTGCAAAGTTGAAAGGGAACTGAGCTCCTTGTTCTCGTAGTCACGGGAAGAGGCTGTTTTGTGCTGCTGGATTGAAGCGTGGCAGATGTGCCTCAGCCCCACAAAAAGCCCCCGGAGCCGGAGCGACCCCGGCCCCGTGTCCAGCCCCGCAGGGAAGGAAGGGCCGAGCTCCGCGGAGGCGCTCGGAGATAATCCCGGTGAAGAGCGGAATTCTGTGCGCTGCTCCCACCATTCCCCTTAATGCCAGTGGCAGCCCCGTTTGCCAGGCAGCTGAAATGGCCCATTAGCTATCAGGGAAAATTGTCTTTGCTCCTTTCAGCAGATGGAGCAAATATTTTACAAAGCAATTTTACATAGGAAAAACATTTGTGTGGCTGGGTAATGACGGCTGTTTTACATGATGGTACCTTCGCTCCGAACGCCCTTTCCCGGCTCGTGCAAAGGCAAAATTGGCACTTTTTAATTTTAAAATTTGCAGCTAACGACGAGATGCCTGGGCTTTAAATCAGGTGGCAAACTTTAAGCAGATAGAGGGTGTTCAGTGTGTCGCTTCCAAAACCATTTCCATTTTTATAAACTTCTCTCATTGTTCTGCTCGCTGCTGTAAATTGTGTTTCTGGCCAGCGTGTACCTATCTGAATTAGGAAAAAAAGTATCAAATCGGTTTAATTTGCAAAATAGGAAATAATGAAGGATATTTGGACGGTCAGAAGCAGTTACTGGGCTCTCCCACATTTGCTGGTGTCACTGAGGATATCAGAATAAGCTGGGCTGGACCAATTCCCATCAAGGCAGCTGGAATAAGTTATCCCAGCTCCACTGATCGCGGCAGAAAGGATTTACTTGTAAATGGTAGGAATTGTCATAGTGCCATCCAAGTGGCATAAATTGCCATGGCTTCATTGACTTCAGCAGAGCTGTGGCAGTTTGTATCACTCAGGATCTCTGCTGGTTTCATTCCTCTCTGGCCCACTCAGCTTTACTTATTTGGAGTTACTTTCTTCACTCTATTTGCTTGCAAGGTCTAAATAATTTCCTTTCAATCTGATTTTTAGCTAAAAAGCCCTGGGTCTTTGTCATGCTTTCTCCTGCTCTGCAGCCTCTTTCTGTCCCTAGGTCTTTCTTCCTATTTCTAAGTGTATTTCTTCTTCCTATTTATTTACTTCTTTTCTCTTCTCAACAGGCTTTTCTTTGCTGCCTGATCTGTCTCCAGCAGATTTCCTACCAGTGCCTTCAACATCTGCCACATTTGATCTTAATTTTTTGTTGCAACTGCTATTCTAAGAAAGCCTTTTGAAATTCAGCTTGCAGAAGGGTGAGAAATTATTTTATATTTAGTGGGAAAAAGGTGTATTTTTTTTTCCTCTTTCATACTTGTTCATTGTTATAAAAAGGTGCAAAACCAATTTGGATAATTTAAAGATCTGAAGATTTTTACAAGGCATAAACAGTACTTGGGTTGCTGCTTTTTACTGGTACTAAGAAACATCAGCTGAAAGATTTGAACAAATGCTCCCAGTTTCTGTTGAGCCTGTGATCCTGGATTGTTTTGGACCACACCAAGAGCTAAAACATTGGTAAGCTCTGCTGGAGATACCCTGCAATTTAAATGGAATTAGCCAGCCAAGCACTCCTCCTTTTAAAAGGGTTTGACTTCACGAGTCAGTGTTGGATCCAGGCTTGAATTTGCCTACTAAAACTCCCTATAATCAGGATTATTACCTTTTTAGAGCTTACAGTTGCAAAAAACCTCCAACTAGAATTCCAGGTGCTGATCCTTAAAGAGCAGTTCCCGACTCCCTGATTATCCAGGCATTGCTTGTCCAAGGCACTGTCACGTTGGGCTGGAGCTCACAGGGATGTTTTTCAGATTTGCTTGGATTGGTTATTTCTTTAAAATCCTGTTTGCTTTCTGTCAGGCTGCTTTGGCTGCTCAGATCCTTCACAGTCACAAGTGCAAGGTGCTGTCGGTGAGATCTTGTGGCTGCCCATCCCTGTGAGTGTCCAAGGCCAGGCTGGACGGGGCTTGGAGCCACCTGGGCTAGTGGAAGGTGGCCCTGCCCATGGCAGGGGGTGGCACTGGATGATTTCTAAGGTCCCTTCCACCCCAAACCATTCCATGGTTTGGCTCCTGAGCTGAGCACTTTGCACCCAACAGACCTCCTGAGTTCAGCCTGTGTTCAAATCCCTGGGAAATGCTGTTGGACATTGTTCAAGCAACACTGGGCCTGTGGAGGAGGTGCCACAGCAGTCTTACCTGTCTAATGTCCATCATGTGAGCTGAGAGCAGCAGCACAGGAGGTTACTGGAGGTGTAGATGAGGTGAATGGAGTGTGTGTCTTACCAGCAGCCTCCAGCAGTGAGCCAGGTTAGCCAGGCCTTGGGTACACTCCAAAATTTGGAAGTTCTGCTTGATTTTGTACCCAGTTTAGGGAACTCTCTTCCACCTCTATGTGTGATCCTCCAAAACAACACTGTCTGAAAGGAGATACAGCTCAGAATGGTTGAAAAGGAGAGTTGTCCCACTGCACCTGCTCTTAGTTTAATGTCACTTACACAAGCTTGGTCACAGCATTCCCAAATGCTTCTACATATCCACCATTTCTTTTTTCCCCCCCTGTAATTTATCAAAAGCTTTCAGGCAGCCATTGCACACCTCTCTCTTGGTTTGTTTTTATATTTCTGTTTAAATTGCCCAAACCCCAAAGTCATCAGATCTCAGGGCTGAGGCTGGGAGTGACAGAGGTATCTCTGAAGGCACTGCCAGCTGCAGACTGATTTGTGGGGCAGCAATTCCCTGACATCCATCATGGCTCACATCCCTCTCCAAAGCCACATTTATTCCCACCAAGTGATGAACCACCTCAGCCTGTGACTTGTTGGCTCAGCAATAATTCAACACAAATACAAACCAAGGCAAGGCCAACTGATATTTGCTCACTGCTCTGCTGTGTCAGTCAGCCGAGCCATCCAAACCCTAAATTCCTTACAGATCATAAGGAAATGAGCAGTGAAAAACCTGAAGGTGGGTAAATTCTGAGCTTGGATCTCATGTTTGATGTGCTCCTTTGTTTTTGCCATGAGGTTGTGCTGCTTAGTGTACTGATATACTGACTTAAACCCATTTTTAACATTTTTTTCTGAGATGTTTAAAGTCAACAACACACTTTTCTCCTTGTTGTATGAGAGGAGCCCACATAGCCCAGATCAGCATTGTTTTCTAAGCCTTTTAATATTTTTAAGGCATTTTTTTCCTCAATTCCTTGTGAGGTAAGGACAGGAATTGTCCCCCATTTGTGACTGGACAGACAGAAAATCCTTTTCCTGGAGTCTCCTTCAGACTGCAGTCAGGAACAAGGGGTATCCATCTTGTACACAAAGGTGATCCCTAATTGCCCAGTTACCCTGCAAGACTGTGGCTGCCCCATCCCTGGAAGTCTTCAAGGCCAGAGTGGATGAACTTGGAGCAACCTGGGATAGTGGAAGATATCCCTGCCCTTGGCAGGGGGTGAACAGGATGAGCTTTAAGATCCTTCCAGCCCAAACCATCCTGTGATTCTAATAATTGGTCCATCCTCCTCATTCTGGTAAATAAATCCCAGGAAGCTGAGTTTGAATTTGTAGTTTTGGTTACGTCACGCCAGGACAAAGCCCATCTCTTCAAACTCACTGCTCTGGAAAAATAACTTTAATGTTTTATTTCCTATTCTTAGCTGGCAGCCATAAAGTTTTATCCCCTTCCTCCAGAGCTCAAGATAAAATGGTTGTGGCTTAGGACATTGTCAGGATCAGAGAAGGGTTGGTCATCTGCTGGAGCCCAGGGTGCTGAGGAGAGAGGGTGTAAAACAGAAGCCAAGAGCCCCAGGGGAAGCAGGAGGAGGCTCATGAAGCAGCAAGAAAAGGAGCCTGAAGCAATGGAGTCAAGGTCCTTGCACTTTATATGCTTGTGTACTCTGGGACATTGGGAACAGTAAAAGCAATGTTACTTTCTGTATTTAATGGGGTTGCTTTGTGTGTTTGTGTGTGTGTGAACAAAGAATTTAAAACCAGGAAAAAAGCTGGTTTAGTTATGGAATGACTAATCAAATTCTGCCAAAGACAGAGGCACATACACACTTGGGAATTTGGTGCAGCTAGTTTACAGAGTGGAAAAGGTTATTTATTTAACTAAAGAGTGTTCGGGTTGATATAAGAGCTTAACCATAGAACTAGTACAACTATGGCTGGCACATGTGACTATTTCAATATGCTGCCTCAAAATACAAGCAATGCAGAAGTTATTGACTGCTGCTATTGATCCCAAGCAGTTACCAAGTACTTGGCATTTTCACTTGCCAGATCCAATTATTGATATAAATTATAATGCAAGAGCTGCTGTGCTGAGGGGGGGATTGCCTCTCAGAGAAGGACACGTTCCTGCAGGAAGGAAGAGGAGTAAGCACAAAAATTAAAAAAGGCTTCCTGACTGTGGGTAAACAGTAACCACATTTTTTTTTTTTTTTTTAGCCTGTTGGAGGCCTGGTTTTTAATCACCCCACAAGCAGTTTTCATTTCTGTAGTAAAATTGCTTGTGGTTCTATTTAATTTGTTTCTGCAGGAGCTGGCTTTGGTGAAGATCTCCCAGGAGCTGCCGGGCCTTTTAGCACAGCACGTACAGCCAGTCAATGAGAAACGATTCCCTACATGGGAAAAATTCCTCCAAACATTCCTCACTCAAGGTAAATAAGACTGCAAAGTCGCTGTGAAGTGTTATAAGGAGTAATTATACCATATTGTATGCCATATTCTTGTTAATCTCGGGCCCATTTAAATATTTATCTCCTTTTATTTCTCCATTATGCTTCAAATGTTCATTTACCAATGAATTATAGGCCACTGTTCTATCATTCACATATCCTATCCAAGCTTTGAACTTATATTAATCCTGGATTACCTTTCTCACGTGATTCTGAATCCATAAGCACCAATTCCTTTATCTTTGGGTGTTGTACTAAAGGCTGGTTGGGAAAGGGCTTTAGGGAATTCCAGCAGAAAGAGAATATTTCATATAGAAATTTCATGCACTTCTTTATCTGTGGAAGAGACAAGAATGAGTCAAAGCTTTGAAAGTGTTTTTAGTTAACACATCTAGTACCAATTTCATTACACAGTAGTTCATCCTGACTAGATGAACTCTGGCATCACGTGCAATAAAAAGGGAAATCCAGAATGCCAAGTGGTTTTCTTTGTGATTTTCCTGTGGAAAACCATGCTGGAAGTTGTCAAATCTACACCAAATTCTTCATGTGGATGAATACCACAGGGCAGGCTCTTATCTGAGACCATCCTATGGATGGGAGTCTCCAGGATTAGTTCACAGCAGGAGACACCACTTCCCCCAAGATCCCAACGTTGTATTTTCCAGCTGTTCTGGGCCTGGTGTTTAGCTGGATTCACTCACACTACCCCAGAACATGTTGCTCCAGTCAGATATGGGATATATCCAGTTGGGAAGCGGAACTGAAAAGCCACTGGTTGAACTCTACAGTGCAATGGTAGATGAGGTGTCTCCTTTCTCCTCCAAGAGATCCACTGGAGCTCTGCTGTTCCCATTCCATTCATTTCCTTGCTGTATCCCTGCAGTGCCTGAGCACAGAAGGAGCTGGTGCCTTCACTTTGTGCACTCTGACTTGTGGATTTGCTCCCAAGTTCATAGAATCATAGACTCAGTTGGGTTGGAAGGGACCTCTGAGATCATCAAGTCCAACCCTTGATCCAACCCCGCCGTGGTTCCCAGCCCATGGCACTGATGGCACATCCAGTCTTATCCTAAAAACCTCCAGGGACGGAGAATCCACCCCTTCCCTGGGCAGCCCATTCCAATGGCTGAGCACTCTCTGCAAAGAAATTCTTTCGAATGTCCAACCTAAACCTCCCCTGGCACAGCTGAAGACCGAGCCCTCTTGTCTTGCTGAGAGTTGCCTGGGAAAAGAGACCAACCCCCCCCGGCTCCCCCCTCCTGTCAGGGAGTTGCAGAGAGTGAGGAGGTCTCCCCTGAGCCTCCTCTTCTCCAGGCTGAGCCCCCCCAGCTCCCTCAGCCTCTCCTCACAGCACTTGTGCTCCAGTCCCTTCCCCAGCCTCGTTGCTCTCCTCTGGACCTGCTCCAGCCCCTCCATGTCCTTCCTGAGCTGAGGGCCCAGAACTGGACACAGCACTCCAGGGGTGGCCTCACCAGTGCTGAGTCCAGGGGAAGAATCACTTCCTTGGACCTGTTGGCCACACTGTTCCTGATCCAGGCCAGGATCCATTGGCCCTCTTGGCCACCTGGGCACACTCTGGCTCATGTTCAGCTATTCCATTTCTTCCCAGGTGGAGTTATCGAAGCCTTCCCGCCCTCCAGCACTGTCACCACCCTGACGGTGGATCTGCTGATAGAGCCAACAGGAGAGATCAGGATCGTGTCCTCTGGGGACCAGCTCCACGCTGAGGGGCCCTTCAGATCCTCTGGGAGCTCCATCCCACAGCGCTCCGTGGATCCAGCGGTTCTCAACTCGCTCTGCTGGAGAATCGGGGACACCTGTAGATCTAAAGGGGTGCTTGGCTACTTCTCTGTTGACTTCGTGGCTTTCACCCATCCCCAAACCATGGAGCAGCAGGTGAGTTACTTCACACTGTTCCCTGAGATCAAGGAATGTCAGTTTTCCTGGGGAATTCCAACCAGGACAAAGCTTTGCCCTTTGCAGCAAACTGTATTTCCAAGCTTTTGGATGGGAGGGAGAACGTGGGTGCTCTAAAAACAGCATAACATTTAGACCTGATGCATCTCCTTGTTTTTCACTCTCCTGACATTGTTTTCTTTTTCACTCCTCTGGCATTGTTTTCTTCTAGAATCTTCAGTGAGGCCCCTCAGTGTTGTGACTGTAAAAGGGAACATCCCTGTATTTAAAGGCTGTGGGGGGAATAGGTGGATTTTGAGGAGGTGGGGTGGCTGTTTCTCCCAGGGGTCTGAAAACCACTTGTGTGGGGTGGGAAAAGGCTTTGAACACAAGGGTTGTATTTAAACCCAAAGAGTTACATGTGGTACCTATTGGCAAAAGCAGTGCTGTGACAATTATATCCAGTTTAAGCTCAGAGAAGGCTTAAAATCAAAATTTTGGTAACTAAAACCACTGTAGGGTGACTGTGGTGAACCAGAGAATTGGAATGATCATAGAATCCTGGAATGATTTGGGTTGGAAGGGACCTTTAAGCCCATTTCATTCCACCCCCTGCCATGGTGGAACCTTTCACTATCCCAGGTTTCTCCAAGTTCATCCAACCTGGTCTTGGACACTTCCAGGGATCCAGGGGCAGCCACAGCTTCCCTGTGCCAGTGCCACACCACCCTTAGAGTAGTTTGTTGGCTCTGGAATACAGATCCCAGTCACATTTGACTCCCAAAGTGTGTTTAGGCACACATTGTAATTAGAACTGCAGATAAGCCATATTGGACAACTTCCATGGAAAGTTGCTTTGGAAAGATAAAGGGAGGACTTTCTTCACCCACAGAAGTCCAGGGAGTTGTGCCAATTGTTTCCCTCAAGCCAGGAGTTCACTGAAACCCAGGAATGCTTCCTAGATTATTAAAGTTACGACATTTCCTGGCACGAACAAGGACATATTAAATCAGTCAGTGTTTCTTGTGGCCTCTTAGAATTCCTGTCTGCCCTGTCTTGGTTTTCTTCCCTTGTTTTCAGTTGATTCTACCTTACTGTCTCCTATGTTTGTCAGCATGTACCACAACTTTAGCATTATTTAAGCACAGGTTTTTAAATTTAACTAGATGTAGAGGCAATTAATGAGGCCATCTGTCTTGTGAGAGGGAGATCACACAAAGGATTGTGTTCCTGAAAGCACTATTTTTTTGGCAAACAAGAAATCCTATTAAACTCTCAGAACATTTGCTCACTAATTTCACAAGTGCCCACTTTAATGCAGTAGCTGGAAGGCTCAGATGCATTTCTTGGAAGTACCAGATACTTAGGAATTCTTTCCAAGTGTATTTTACAGAAAATATCAACCTTTGGAGCACTGGGAGCAAAGGGGCTCCATGGTGGCTAAGGGACAATGTGTGTTGTCAAACACAACTCAATGGGAAGGCAGAGCCTTGGCTGCCCTGAGCACCCCAGCAGGGATCCAAGGGGCAGAGAAATGGTGTGGAGACTCCACACAATTCCCTGTTTGCCTCAGGAATCTGTTTCTATCTCACCTAAAAGCATCTGTGTCTTGTTCCCGAGGGAAGGGAGGTGGAGACACACTGTTTTCAAGGGGAAGAAGTGGAGGAGAAGAATTAGGTGCATAACTTGGACTGAATCACTTCTGATTCTCATTTTATTTTCCAAAATTGATCATTCAGAGCAAGGCCTTGACCCCTCAGAGTGAAATCCTGCCCAGTGTTGAGTGTCTGCTGCTCAGACCCCAACTTGTCAAGGAGCCCACTTAATGGAGTGGGACTGCTGGAATGCACAACCTTCCTTACATCCACAGTTCTGTGGACAGATAATTTGGAGAAACAGGGTCCTCAGCCACCTTTTCCATGGATCTGATGGCTTTTACACAGTCCCAACCCTTGGTAGGAGTAGTGAGGGAACGTTGGATAAGCAGCTGAGGTTGGACACATTCACGACGTGTCTGAAGGTCTCTCCAGACAGTGGAGCATTTTCTAGGTGTTATTTTCAAACAAGAGCCACAGTGTTTCCATGAACCATCTTCCAATCTTATATTGAGCAGGAAAGAGGAGTTCTAGAGCCCTGGAAGTGAAGTTTTTGGGCAGCACCAGCCCATCCCAGCAGCTGCCACGAGATGGCAGCCGGACAAGGGCCTCCCTGCCAGCGCTGCCGGAATCATCCATTCTCCTGCAAATGCTCAAAGTCATCAAAGCAGCTCTCCCTTCAACACCCAGGTTGCATTATAATATCTTATAATTGACATTTTTACAGTATCACCCAACCACTTCTTTAAAAGCAGCACTTGGGCTCTTTACAACAACACAAACATCGGTACCAGGCACAGAGAAAACGGTTAAACTGGGGGAAGAAAAGCTGTCATTCAGTAGCTCCTTAAGAATTTATGTTTCCTTCTCGAGTTTATGTTTTAAAGCTGAAGCATTTTGATGGAAGCTGTAAAGAATTCCAGTATAATTGTGGCTTTATTCACTGGAGGTGTCTTTGCCATGAAGTGCAGGCTCCTGAGCTGTGCTCACTGGAGGAGTCTCCTGGCAGCCTTTGTGACAGGGAGCAATTCCAGGCTTCGTCCCAATTCCTTGGACAAACAGCCAGCAACTCTTGCAGGACATATTTCTAACTCTTTTTTTTTTCTAGTGGTGGGATTTTGGGAAGTCCTAATCTGTGCTTTGCTTAGCTTGACCTAAAACCACTCTTAAGTCAATCTAAAAATCTTAACTACTGCCTCTACCTTTGAACTTTGATTTGTGGTTTGATAACCAAATGTCAGTTCTAGATTTTACAAATGAGCTCTGTTCCAGTTTAATTTCTGAACAGAAGTGTCCTGAAAATCCCCAAATTTGAGGTGAAAGCTCCTTGTGTTATGCTAATTTTCCATGCAATCCTATCAGGATGTGACACTGACAGTCATAAATACCCACGTGCCTTGATTGTATGTTCTCAGGAAATGAGGATGGACTCAATAATCTGTTTGTTAATCTGTAGGATTGTATAATTCTTTACTTAAACTTGACCTTTGCCCAGGCCTTCCTCCAACAGCTCCTTATTTACTGGAGGAGATGATAATTTATCTGGTTATTAACTGCCTGACCTCCTCAGACATTGCTTTATGCACTATGGAAATATATTCATGAAATAATAAATAAAAACCCAGCCACAAAACACCAGAGCTCAGATTTTCAAGGCATTCTAGGAGCTCTGGACACCCATTTTTATTACTTCAGAGGAAAACCTGTTGCAATCCAGTAGATGTTACTAGAAAGCTACACTTAAAAGAACAGCCCAAACTAGTAAGTAGATCTGATGTGGTTGTGCTTCATTATATGTGGCCCAAATGCTGATTATTTCTCACAGGGAAATAAAAATAAGAGAGGGAGGAGTCAAATACACCAAAATCCTCAGCAAACAAAACTTACTGGTGAGAAGAAATCAAGAAGTCTTCAACTAATAGAGTCCTCCTAATTAGAATTCCTCAGACAAAAATATCAAGGATTCTGGTGCTCTTTTCTCCATTACAGTTAATTTTAGGTCCTTAAACTCAAGGGACACCAGTATGGTCAAGATGTGATATAATGAGCTGCCCCTTTCCCCTTGGGAATATGTATGGATATATTATTGGTGGAAGGTGCCAGGCTGACAGAGCCAGCAGGTAGATTCCCACTGCTAATTCCAGAACCAGGAGCACCACAGGGAGCTGCAGAGCCTTTGTCTTCACAGCTCAGGCCTGGCCCAACTTCCAGCCTTGCTCAGAACTACCAAAAATGTTGCCTGTGATTTTCCAAAGAGCATTTGTGACTTCAGGAACTGCAGTGTGGCTTGGAAATTGTTCCATTAAAGAATTCAGTCGGCTAGTTACTAATTATCTCTCATTTGAACTAAGAAAATGGAGAAAATTATCCCTAAAAATAAAGGCAGACCCCTTGCCCAGGCCAGCCCTGTGTGTTTCCCTTGTCTGGAGCAGCACAAAGGGGATTTAAAGGGCACTTCTGGGTTTCCATGGCAAAAGGGAATCCCCTGCTAGGATAAAGCTGGAATCTTGTGCCATCTGATCCTTCTTCCTTTCTGCCCACCTTAGGGATGTTCTGGGACACATCCAGGGCAGGAAGGGACATGGCCACGATATCGTGTTCTCTGACAATCCCGAGCCAGGAAAACAATCCTTGGGGGTGATCCCAGCTGGCACAGAGAAGTGACCATTTGGCTGCTTTAAGTTGCAGCAGGGGTGGTTTATCCCCAGGCTCAGGCCTGGAATGGGAGGAGGTGGACAGGTGGCTTCCAGCCACGTTCTCCTTCCTCCTCCTCGTGCTGCTGGAGCCCTCACCTTATATTAAAAATGCAAAATATCTGATGACTTTATGCAGAATGTAACCACGATTGGAGCTTAAAGGAGGTGTTCAGGGCTCTCCTTTGTTTGAGTAACAACAGGGGAAGGGATGGACACCTTTTATCCACCCTGTAGATCCAAACCCCTAATTTCACAGGCAGCAGCACGAGGGTGGTTGGTCTGAGATGGTGAAGCCACATCTGAAGCGATTAGCTGAGTAAACAGAGACTCCTTAAAATAGCATTTGGGTGATCTCAGGATCTGCAGCAGAAAACTTGCCTTGCTGAAACCTTTTTCTCCTCTTTTTTGGGCAAGCTGGGCCATCCCCTGGAGCAGGGGATCCGAGAGCACTTCTGTCCTTCCCAGAGCAGCGACTGGGAAGGTGCCAGTGGGCACTGGAGCCAGGCTGGCATGCTGGGGCTTTGTTTAGATGGATGTGAAATGCACCACACGAGTAATTAATGGCTCTCTTCTCTACATCTGAAATTAAAACAGTGTCACTTGTATTTTAATTGTAGTTACTGACAACATGGGATTTGTTGAGTAACTCTTGCACGACGGACGTGCTGCCCCACGCTTGGTGTGCTTTGTCTGAATCCCTGGGAGGGTGCAATGAATTTATTTAGTGCTAATGGCTGGTTAGGTTTGCCAGGCTGCTTTTTTTAATGCTTTATCTGCTGTTAAATGCTCACCCCGTTCCCTAAATGTTGCCAGATGCGCTTCAGTCACAGGGACATCTTTGATTAACTTTTTATGGCCCACCTTCAGCCCAGCTTGTCTCCTGCACCTCTATTTGGGCATCAATAAATCCTCCAAGGTGTGAATTTTGAGGTCAGAGCAATGCAGGTGTAAGATCAGGGTCTGAATTAGGAGCACCCAGTTCCCTTTGAGCTGAACAGTCCTCAGGTATCCGAGATTTCCAAGAGTCCCTGGTCCCCTCATGCAGCTCTGCCACCTCCTCCTGGGGGCAAACTTTTAACTGGGAATCTAAAACCCAGCTCAAATAAGATCAAAGAAACACTGAAACAGACTTGTTGATAGTATTTATAATAATATTTATCAAAATTAACGTAACACTCCTGTAATCTGACTAGTTTATAACTATGATTTGACTGGTTGAAAAGGCTGGCACATACTGGAAAAGTACAAATCGACGGGAAAGTTCCTCCCTGTCTCGCAGGAGTGATGATAAACAATAAATTATTGAAGAAAATTAAACTTTATAATTGGGGAACATTCCCTATTACTGAGCAAAGGCAGCCATTAGCATCCTATTTGCATCTGGTACCGTGCAGCAGGAAATATTTAAGTTGACAAATAGGATATTTAATACAGCAACAGATACTTGGCAGTTGGATATTAACAACTGTTACTGGGGTGATTTATTCCCCATTATCCAAAGGGCATTACTGTGTGCATATGATTCCGAAATTAACTCCGGTTTTCCGAGAGGCCTTGGCTGCCTGACCCCTTAATATCCTTATAATGATGCCATTTACCATTCAAGGGCTTAGTCAAGTTGTTCACTGGGAGATTTGTTTTAAGGGGTCCACTGGAGGGCAGATCTTGGTGTGTGGGAACATTTCTCACCGGCACAGGAGCCACAAGGATTTTTTTTTAAGTGGGAAAAACTCACCGGGAAAACCAAGCTCAGGTTATTGGGGAAGAGGAGCCTTGCAGAAGGAGTTCGTGGTACTTCCCCCTGCCTCATAAATCCTGCCTGAAAAATTATTTCTACAGTTAGAGAAGAGTTCTGATTGTTCCTAGTTGGAAGTGGTTTGTAGAACCATGAAATCCTGGAATGGTTTGGGTTGGAAGGGACCTTAAAGCTCATCCCATCCCACCCCCTGCCATGGGCAGGGACACCTTCCACTACCCCAGGTAGCTCCAACCTGGCCTTGGACACTTCCAGGGATCCAGGGGCAGCCACAGCTTCTCTGGGCAACCTGTGCCAGGGCCTCCCCACCCTCACAGCCAGGAATTCCTTCCCAATATCCCATCTAACCCTGCCCTCTGGCAGTGGGAAGCCATTCCCTGTGTCCTGTCCCTCCATCCCTTGTCCCCAGTCCCTCTCCAGCTCTCCTGGAGCCCCTTTTGGCCCTGGAAGGGTCTCCCAGGTCTCCCTGGAGCCTCCTCTTCTCCAGGCTGAACAACCTGTGCCAGGGCCTCCCCACCCTCCCAGGGGAGATTCCTTCCCAACATCTTTATCGCCTCCAACGCTGCCCCAGGAAGGCAGAAGCAGGAACACCAACAAGCAGGACAATAAAGGCAGAGATGTTCCTTCCCAATTGCTGAGTTTTACCCTTCTTCTTCTCTTTAACTCCCTTTAATGCACCTCTTTGTTTGGATCAGGTGTGGGCAACAGACCTTGACCTTTGCTACAGTGACCAGCTGGCCCTGACCCAGCTCCTGTTGTACGTGACAGATGGAAACGTGGATTGTGGCTCCAGCCCCCTCGAAGCACCTCTTGGGTCACAAGCAGTGAAAAGCCAATGGATTCAGCGTGAGGGGACAAAACCTGTAAGCAGTGAGATGTTCACAAGTAAAATTATTCATGGGAACTCCCCCTAAGTTACAATCTGTCCCAGAGCGCTGTTCTAGAGGAGCTCAGTTTGCTCCTCTCTGCTCCTCTTGGATTTTCCAAGGTTAATAAATTAATGGGGTAACATCAGAGTAGAAATGAAAGTTTCTGGATTTATGGGTCCCCAGTTATTCATCCTTTGCACTCGGGGATATTGGTTTGTGGTGGTAACTCACTTTTAAATATTTCAAGTAGCTTTCAAGTTGTAAAAAAAAGTGGTAATTTATGTGTTGCATAAATTAGGTGCATAAAAGAGGTGAAGCACTGCCCTGACTGTAGGAAAAACTTCAAAGCAGTCTAGAAGAAGTCTGAGCAGTGATTTGGGATTGGGAGTTGGAGCAGGGAAGTTTTGTACTTGCCTGCACAGACCTGAGGGTGAAACAATCCCATCCTGGAATGTTCCAGGCCAGGCTGGACAGGGCTTGGAGCAACCTGGGCTAGTGGGAGGTGTCCCTGCCCATGGCATGAGATGAGCTTTAAGGTCCCTTCCAACCCAAACCATTCTAGGATTTAATAAAAAGGGAAGGAAGGTCTTTTCTGAAGTCACAGCATAAGAAACATGTCCCTGTGTACACTCACACAGAGATCCCAAACAGCTGCTGTTTGACGTGTTTTGACAGAAGATTCACAGCTCCCTTTTTTCCATCCATAGAGGAGCAATGTAGCACCATTCCAAAAATGTCATGGAGCTGTGATTTAGAGGTTAATGAGCTCTTGATCTATTGTTCTTGTCAAGCAACCACTTTTAGTTGGAGAGAAGTAAATTAGATATGATTAGTCCCAGTAGTCCAAGTTTTAGAAATGAAAAGTAATCAAGTAGCAACTTTTTTTTAATTAAAATTCCATCAGAATTAACATAAATTGTCATTATATCCTTTATTTTTTTCTTCTTTCTGTGTTTCTGAGATTTTTATCTCCTTAAGAGTTAACTACAAGCCCGCAGTCTCCCAGGAAAACAGAAAAAGAAACAAACCAAGAGACAAATGTTTTTACAGCACATGATCTGTAATGAATGATTAAGTAAAACACTTTGTGTAAAATTATGATGTTAATAATGATTCTGTCCCTTTTAATTTATTAGATATTCTCCATGCTGGTAGGGTTGATTTTGATAAAATGGAGCAGCCCCTGAGTTTGTGTGAGGGTTTTATTTTTAGAAATCCTTCTTTGAAAGAACAAATTTCCTAGATACTGCTGCTCCTGTAATTATGTACAAAACCAATCACTCATTATAGTTAGGATACATTATCTTCTAGACAGATGAGGCTAAATAAGCAACACATTAATAATTCATCCTGCAGTTCATTATGCATGTGTATGCATGCTTTGTAGCTGAAATAAGCACCTCATCAACCTGATGCCAACCCTTAAACAATAGTTCTGTGTTATTGCAGCCACATTCAAGTTTACGCTTGTTAAACTGCTACTTGGATTATTTTATCAAGCATTCATTTATTTGTGGTCCCCCACTGCAGAGAACAGATTTTGGAAGCTCCTTTTTTAAGTTAATGACTTGAGCAATGGGTGTTATTAATTCTCAGAATATTATAAACATGATTAATTTTCAGGCAGAGATGTATTAGATCAGGATTTCGGCGACGTCAACTTAAATGAGTCAGTGTCAAAACAAATATCATTGGAGAGAAAATACTGTAAATTACTGATTCAACATGGAGTGTCCCTGCTCCAAGGGAACAGTCCAGCAGTAAAATAACACCAGGAAAGCCCTGGCTTGGGAGAACAGCTCTGCTCAGAGCTGCTCAGGGCAACAGCTCTTCGGCCTAAGCACTGATAAGGGTTTAAACTTGATGCAGCTCTACCTGGATCCAGGGGGGAATGGTTTCCCATTGCCAGATGGGATACTGGGAAGGAATTCCTGGCTGGGAGGGTGGGGAGGCCCTGGCATAGGTTGCTCAGAGAAGCTGTGGCTGCCCCTGGATCCCTGGAAGTGTCCAAGGCCAGGTTGGACGGGGCTTAGAGCAACCTGGGCTAGGGGCTTAAAGCAACCTGGGCTAGGGGAAGGTGTCCCTGCCCATGGTTGGAACAAGATGAGCTTTAAGATCCCTCTCAACCCATTCTATGATCTCACAGGGCTCAGTGACCATGAAGCTGTGAAAATACCAAAATGTGGTTCCTAAAGAGCAATTCTGTAGATCTGATCTGGAATACAAGGTTTTACAGATTTACAGGGATTTAAATTTGCTGCATGAAAATGTCTGTGTTCAGTAGACACTGTGATGAACAGGAATTCCTCCACACTTACATGAGTTCACTGGCAAAAATCCATTTATAGAATCACAGAATCATGGAAGTCTGGGTTGGAAGGGACCTTAAAGCTCATCGTATTCTACCCCCTTTGCATGGGCAGGGACACCTTCCACCAGCCCAGGTTGCTCCAAGCCCTGTCCAACCTGGCCTTGGACACTTCCAGGGATTCAGGGGCAGCCACAGCTTCTCTGGGCAACCTGTGCCAGGGCTTCCCCACCCTCACAGGCAGGAATTCCTTCCCAGTCTCCCATCTGAACCTTTCCTCTTTCAGCTTGAGGCCATTCCCCCTTGTGAAAAGTCAACAATTTCCCATTTAGCTGTTGGGTTCTGGGATAAACTGGTATGAACTGGTCTGGAAATGAGGAATGCTGTGTTGTTCTCTGCAGCCTGCCCCGGTGAGCCCCCGCTGTGCTGTGGCCAGCACTCAGCTCAGGCACTCCAACCTCTCTGAGACCTCCTACAACGTCCTCCTCCAGAGGTGTAAAGCTCGTGGGGTTGGATTTGACCTCCAGGTACGAACGGGGGGAAAAAGGAGAAAATGTGATATTTGCTCTGCAGAAGTTTTGTAGGAAATTCTCGTGTGGTACAACCACTTAGAGCAACGTAAATCACAGGGTTGTGAAGGTTGGAAAAGACCTTTAGGGTCATCAAGTCCAACCATCAACCCAACACCACCATGTCCACCATTAAATCGTGTCCTCACCTGCCACATCCACATGTTTTTTAACACTTCCAGGGTTGGTGGCTCCACCACATCCACGGGCAGCCTGTTCCAATTCTTCACAACCCTTTCCATGAAAAATTCTTTCCTAATATCAAATCTAAATTTCACATCTAACATCTTCCATGTTGCCAGTGTCAGTGATGACCCAGAGCTGAAGAACAATGAAAGTTTGTGTCCCATGTATATCTAAGGTGAAGGACAGGCTTTGAGAACAAGAGAATAAACACATTTTCTCTGTCCTTAAACTTAAGTGTGTGTAAGGCTTTTAGGGGTTAACCTGCCTGTAGAGATAAAAATAAGGGGATAATTTTTAAGATACTTTTGACCACCTTTAGTGCTTAGGAATAAAAGTACTTGCTGTTGAATAGACTCTGCTGTAGAGCAATAATCTACTTACACTGAGCATGGATCCCTTACACACAATTCCCAACTAACCCTTTTAGCTTAGTGTGTATACCTAGTGTCCCTGTGTAACACATTTATTACAATTACCATTATTTTAGGAATAAATAAAGCAACTTTTTTTTATTTAACAGGAAAAACAGGGAACTGTTTTTATCCTGTATGAAGACCAGAAGAGACACAGCCTGGGAATGATGTGAGTAAGGATTGTCCCTTCCCCAGGGTGACAAACAGCTGGATGGGAAGGGAAGGGATAAGCTGAACACCATGGCTTGGGGTCACCAACTGTCACCTCCTGCTCAGAAAAGTGTAAGATTGGCCTCTGGGAAAGTTTTAGGGAGACTTTAAGCATTTTAGGAATCAAAGAATTTGAGGAGTGTGCTGAGCCCAAAGGCTGTGAGGGCACTGCAGGCTCAGGACCTGCTGGAATTGGCTCCAGGAGAGCTGGATTCACTGGCAGGAGCAATGGCTCACATGGATTAGTACAGGCTTACTTTTTACAGGCAAGGTTATTAAAAACCTGACTTCCATGAGGCAAAGAGGGTGAAGTTTAGTGCCTTTTTGTATTGATTTCCTAAAGTGCTGAGTGGCACTCAGGGAAGTTAGGAATTCTTTAGACACATGGACCTGCCCCCAAGAGGTCTAAGAAAGCATAATCTGTAAAATTCTACTGTTCACTGACTGCAAACCCCTCCTCAGAGGGAACTTAGGTAAAGCTTCCTGCCAAAATTGGGATGTTGGAGTGTTTGAAGGATGTTTGAATGAGTGAGGGGCTGAAGTGTTCTGCTCTCAGCCTGTTCTGTATTCCTTTGATGCTGGAGCTGTTCCATTAATGACCTGGATAACAAAACAGCTTCCTTGAGTGCTGGATGTGCCTGCAAGGACTGTGGAGGGCAGGAATAGAATTCCAAATGATCTCAACAAATTGAAGGAATAGTATGTGAAACATAGAATTAGATTTGGTTGGAACCAAGTGCAAGAAATCACATTTAGAGAGGAGCAATGAATATGAGGAACAAGTAGGTTCTCAGGATCTGTGAGTCAAACTGCCTGCAAGCCACAGAGTCAGGATCTTATGGAAAAACTGTGTATCCTGGGAGATGCTGGAAGTTATCCTTTCATTCTGCTGAGAGGGAGGCAGTGAAAATGTTTAGGGTTCTAGAGAATGTGACTGATAAGGAAAGGCTAAAGGAGGAGGAAGAGGCAGAAGTGGGATCTGCCAGCCATCTCCAAGCCTCTGCAAGAAGGAAAAATGTCATTTCCACATCTTTGGTAGTAGGATAAGAAGAAAGGAACTTAACTCACAGCAAGGGAGATTTCTGTTGAGCATCAGAAAAATTCCTGGTGTGAGGGAAGAGAAGAACTAAGGAGGTTGTTGGGTGGGGTTGTCACTGAGGAGCAGCTGAGACAAACCTCTGTCAGGATGATGGACAGAGCATTGATCCCTCCCCTGGCACTGGGAATGCACCCAATGGTTCCTAAAGATTGTTCCCAGGGCTGGGATTCCTCCAGCCTGCCCTGGGCTCCTGGGGAGGAGGGCACTGGTAGCAGCCAAGGGAGGCAGGTTTGTTTAAAGCTGAGATATTTCTGTGCTGTTTTGCTCTCCCATGATGGAGCTGGAAGATACATTTGAATGAAAATCACTGAAAAAGAGCTTGTAAAATATGTACATGAGATGTTTAAAAAGTGATTTAGATATCTGAAAGTGTTCCACAGAACCCTCCCAACAGCTGCTGCTGCTGAAAGGTGAGCTCTCTCCTTCCTTCCCAGATCCCAGTTATGGAGCCTCTTCCCTCCTGTCCTGGTACTTTCACACCTCTCCAGGAGCTGATTCAGCTCAGTAACTCAGCAGAAAGCTTTTTTTCTTGGACATAACAATACCTCTTGCATCACCAGCTTGAGTTGGCAGTTATTAATGTGTTACCAGAATACTCTCAAGTGTCTTTGCCCTGCATCCTGATCCCAGTTTTGCCTGATTTTCAGTGCAATTTCATGGTCTTAGTTTGGAAATATTTTCAAGAATTTAAGATAGGGTTTATAAAACTCTTAATACCTGAAACATCTCTGAGAATTATCTATTTTATGACATCAGAAATCCGTTGTCACTTCCAGTAAATGAGGTACATTAATTCCTCAGTGTAATTCCCTGTTCCATAAGGTCTGTATGTACCACTGGGAAACCAAACCCTCAAAACCTGCAACAATCTGAGAAATGCTGACACTGCTGACATTTCTCTTTCACAAATTCTAGGCTGAAGCAACAGTTCTTCTTAACTATTGTGGGTGTTGAAAGTGTTCTGCTCTCTCAGTTCTAACTCAACAGCAGCCTTTTATTTGGAGAAGCCGAAACCTCTCTGCCTACTTCTGCTTAAGTTGATTAATAAAAATTATTTATTACACAAATCCTTCCTGTCGACAAGTTAAAATGGAGCCTCATCTTTCATATCTCCCTGAAGATTGCCACCTTGTGAGATTGAAAATCCTCATTAAATTCCAGCACCAGGCAGGCACAAATGAGAGGGCGATTGTTTTTAAGCATGTGAAGGGAATCATTGGGAAACTCATTTGTTTGGATATCATTAACAGAACAATCGGAGAGGATCTCCAGGGGGTCCTCCTGACCTTTGCTCGCAATCTCTTCATCATCCATCAAGAAATATCAGCACCTAATATGCAAGGCGAGACCAATTTTAAGGTGAGGTGTTAATTAACTAACGATCCCGGGTAATTTCTGTACAAGGCCTGCAAATACCTCATGCTGGATCATAAACAAGTGCTAAACCATTCCCTTTTCATCCTTAGTGCCGGGTGTTTTACAGTGTCTGGGTCAGTGTAGGCAGCCTCCCACTGAACCTGTTAGTTAAATTTAAGTTTGAAACTTTTGCTTTGAAAAGAGACAAACTCCAGCAGGAAACTATTTGTAATCTAATGCTCCTGAGTGTCCTTTGGAAGAGCAAAGGAGCTGTTGGCACTGCCTCACACAGTTCTGTCACAATTGCCTGCCTGATTTTCAAGGGACACCATCAAGGTAAGAATCTGAAATTAGAAACAAACTTCCCAGTTGATAACAGCTCCTTGGATTATTAACACTGATTTCTTTTAAGCAGCAGCCACCACGTACTTAATCCATTAGTTCCCATCCCTCGATTTCCCAAGTGGATTCTGTTCCCAATTTTCTCCGCTCTTTGTCCTGATCCGTGTGCTGGAGGATGCTCCAGGGTGGAGAGGGGGAAGGAGGACAAAGCAGAGGGGCTGGACAGGCTGGGGCTGTTCCCCCAGGTGTGCCCCCCTCTCCCCCAGAGCTGCTCTGGGCCGACCTCGCTGGAAAAGGAGCCAGGAAAGCAATAATGAATCCAACCCCGTGCCCTGGAACATCACTCCTCACAATGCTGCTTTTTCATTCCAGAGAATTGCTGAGCTTCCCACGGGGAGTCCTTTTGCTGAGCTACATCACCTTTAACTTGATAAAAAGTTTCTAAGATCCTGTCTGTGAGTGTTTTGTGAAAGGTCGAGGGGAGCTGCGTTAGAGATTTATATCTTAAATCACATCACGTAATTTATATCAGTCCTCCCACTCTGACTAGACTTTCCTCTGACAAGCAGAGTGTGAAATGACAGATTTTAGGAAAGACATAATTAAATTTCACAACGTTGCAGAATAAACAACAACAAAAAAATCCCTTTTTTCAATGTGAGAGAGTGAAAAGAAGCCACCGAAGAAAAATATAAAAGGGAACTTTTCTTCATTGTGAGTTAACATATGTGAAATAAAACACCTGTTAGTTAATTAGAAGCACAAATTGTATTTTTATTTACCTGAGCTTTGTACGTATTTACTAATAATTCCCCCAACTGTCCCCAAAGTAACAGTAAATTTAATTGGTGCATCCTGTCCTGTGTAAGTGTCTTTACCTGTTCCAGGCAGGCACTGCCAGCTGGGGCTGCTGGATTTCATTATAATGCCCATTAAATAACTTGTATTCCTTGAATCTCTTGCAGATGGCAATTCAAGATATTGAAGCAATTCTAGGAGTTACAGCAGAAAACAAACTGAAATTGGAAGAAGAGCAACCTTGGGAAGCAGATGCTCTGAAAGAATAGTTAACAGAAAATGTTTAAGTGCCTGATTCCTTATGCTTCTGGAAGTGCTTCCTCATCTGTAAGAACAGGTTTGGTTTTTTCCTCCTGGGTTGGTATTAACTGAGACAGAACATCTCCATCATTTCTGGGTGTGGTGTTTGGAATAGCCCTTCATTCCCAAAAAAACCCTGTTGAAGAGCAGGGAATCATCCTGATGCTCTTCGTGTTCCTGTTGCTGAAGTTCAGTGTCTTGTTTTAAAATCTTATTAATGGGGTCACAGTGTCACTAAATCAGAGGAGGAGATCAGTCTCCACTGAAAAGAGCCCTGAGACCCCAGATTCCCTTTCCAACAGATTGTGTTCTGAAACAGATTCCTGGCAGGAAAGTAGGGACAGGGTTAAACCTGTTGGAGTGAGTCCAGAGGAGGCACCAAGATGATGAGAGGGATGGAGAAGCTCTGCTGTGAGGAAAGGCTGAGGGAATTGGGATTGTTCAGCCTGGGGAAGAGAAGACTCAGGAGACTTAACTGTGGCCTTCCAGGACCTGAAGGAGCTACAGGAAAGATGGGGAGAGACTATTTACAAGGGCCTGGAGTAACAGGACCCAGGGAATGGCTTCCCACTGCCAGAGGCAGGGATAGGTGGGATACTGGGGAGGAATTCCTGGCTGGGAGGGTGGGCAGGCCCTGGCACAGGTTGCCCAGAAAAGCTGTGGCTGCCCCTGGATCCCTGGAAGTGTCCAAGGCCAGGTTGGATGGGGCTTGAAGCCACCTGGGATAGGGGAAGGTGTCCCTGCCCATGGCAGGGGTGGGACGGGATGAGCTTTAAGGTCCCTTCCCACCCAAACCATTCCAGGATTCTTCTGCCTGTAAGTGCCACCTTAATTTAAACACCATCTTCTCAGTCAGCCCAGCAAACCACGTTCCTCTTGGAACTGACTGTCCTTATTGTTGTGCTGCTATTTCCATTCTCTACAGATTTTTGCAGCAGTTGTTTTATGTTCATTTTCAAATTATCAAAAATAACAGTAATAGCACTAATTCATCAATAAATCCTGCAAGGACCATTATAATTCCACTTGCACTGTGATTCCCAGGGTTCCATGATTTTTGCAGGTCTCTCCATCAGATAGGTTTTGTTATTTTAGATATTTTTTTGTCACAGTTGCTGTGCACTATATTAAGGCCAACAGTTACATTTGTAAAATTATCTTTAGTATTCCAAGAAAGAGCACACTCTGATTTTTCTTATAGAATCTTCTTTTATTATAGCATCTTCTCCCTGGGATGGAGACTATTATCCCAGGCATGGCAAGTGTCTTTGAGATTACTTCCCAAAAAACTCAGGGAAAACCAGTTTTAAGACAAACACTGAATGTGACCGAGCAGTTGCACCAGATCAGTGCCCAGTTTTTCCAATGCTGAGTCTTTGATCCCAGAACATCCCACATTATCTTTTGTGTAGCCTTTTTTGCTTCCACTTTGGTCACAGAATTAATTAATTGCAGATGAGAACATTTGCATAAATGCTGATCCCTGCTTCAGACAAAAATCCAAGACAGTATTTTTGTTTAATTCCTGGTTGGTTTTTTTTTCCTTTTTAATACATAATCTCAGTCTCGTCTTGGGTTTGGATATAGCAGAGCCCACACAGATTTCTTCTGAGGTGGAACTGAGCTGGATTCTGAAGGGTTAAGGGAAAACCAAGCCTTGATCCAAGCCAGAACAACATAAGGTCTGAGAGGCTCATTAGTTCACTGGCACTTAATAGACTGCAGTGTCCTGGGAGGAAATGAAACCTGCACTTCCTTCTGGCTTTGTTCTATCCTGACAAAAGAAAACTGTACCTGTTTTTGCAGGAAACAAGTGACCTGAAAGTTCCCGTGGTGAGAGAGATTTCTCGGCATGTGCAAAGTGTGAAATGTATTTGGAGGGGGGGGGGAAAAAAAGTTTTTAATTACTATTAACACTTCTGAGCCTTGAGCTGAGGGAAGGATTGAAACGGCTTGACAGTCTCTCACATTCCACTCCCATGCTGTTGGTGCCAAAAATTTAGGGGTTTTAGGAATACAGCAGATAGAAAATGAAATTAAAATCTTTTTTTTTAGAAAAAAAAGGTGATGTCCACAGCTGGAAATGAAGGTGTGTGTTCAGCTGACAGCACCTTGTGGATTTTGGTTTTGCAAGAATTGATGTGCTGTCTGGAGAGAGGTTGTTCTTCTGGGGGAACATTACCTGGAGCTGATGATACTGGAAACTGGGGCTCCTGTTTTAGGTAGTTGGGTTTAAAGCCCTGTATAAAAGTGAAAAAAACTAAGACATTCAGCCACGTTGCTACATTTAGAATGACAGCTCTTTTGCACAGAGCAAAAATGCAGTTCTTCAGCACATCCACCTCATCGAAACGGACAGTTCAGGGGAATTTACCACCTTCCAGCCAGGTTAAGGTAACAAATCCCTGGATTTTTAAGACTAACCTGGTCCTCAGCATTTCACAGCGATTACTGAACATCAGTTTAAGGAACATCAGTTTAACATTGGGATGCTGTAGATCTGAGGCACCCCCTGTTACAGTGTATGGATCCTCTGTATGTCATTTTGGACTGCACATTTTGTTACAGCACTAAAGATTTAGGAACTGCAATCATTGACAGCCTTCATTAATGTAATTTAATATATTGTGACCATGAGGTAACTCTTAAGCTGCACTACCTTAGTTCAGCTGCATGACCCACAGTACCAGACTCCACCTTTTCTAAGCTCAGTCAGTGTTGCCACTAATAGGTAAATATATATATAAATTAAGATATTAAAACTAACTATATGCTTCATTAATTATAGGAAGGTGAACTTGAGTCAAATTTGTTGCTGGCAATGATGAATAATTACTGGTTCTCCCCACAAGTAGTACATTACAGTAAATAAACAGGGCACATTGTTGGGTAGTAATTGATTAATTAGCTAGTTCATACCAGATAGCTCAGTGGTTTAAGATTGCTGAGTTTGAGATATTGCTTGCAATTATTGAAAGGAAAAAGCTGTTTCTATTTCTCAGTTTTCTGCCTTTTTTTCCTTCAAATACAATGTTTAATGGTTCAAAACCTTGACTTTTATTTAGAAAAATGGAATATGGGAATATTTCTCTTCGAGAGGTGTCTGACACTTGAAGAATTTTTCGGGTGGTATTGTTATGGAGTGTGATTTTAAAATATTTCTCTTTGAAGGAGTCTGACACTTGAGAGAAGGATTTTTTTAGGGTTGTGTGACTGTTAATTTTCACTACATAAAATCAATATAACTGAATACACTTTCTCCTCAGCACAGGTGAACCTGGTGCATGCTGCAGGTACAATACAGAGGTGGTTCTGGAAGCATGTCAGTGCCAACAAACCCCCTTTAAAAATGTAATTGCCCTTTTTTTTGGTGATGTTTTCACTGGTCCCTCTGTCTGGGTGGGGCTCAGGGTGACCCTCGCCCCTCAGGTGGGGCCGTTTCACCTCAGCGTGTCTGTCACAGAATCACGGAATCAGAGGGGTTGGAGAAGCGCTCCCAGCCCATGGATCCCCCCTGTGC